AAAGCCGGCGTGGCAAGCTGGGCAGGGTGGTGGGGCGCCCTGGGTCCTGGAGGTCAGGGGTCGCAGCCCCAGTGGGTGGTGGCTGGGGCTTGGACTCTGGACGGGGGGTGAGGGCAGAGAAGTGAGACCTCACGAACTGGGCAGAAAGTGGGGGTGGGGACTGCTGGAGAAAGGGGGGAGGCGGCGGGGGAGCCCCAGGGATCCGTGGGATAAGGAGGGGAAGAGGAGGAGGGGTCTAGAACCGCCTGCGACCGCGCCTCGCGGCTTCCTGCAGGTGAGCCCCGAGGGAGCGGGGGACGAGGACTCGTGCTCCTCCTCGGCCCCGCTGTCCCCGTCGTCCTCGCCCCGGTCCATGGCCTCGGGCTCCGTCTGTCCCCCTGGCAAGTGTGTGTGCAACAGCTGCGGCCTGGAGATCGTGGACAAGTACCTTCTCAAGGTAGGGCGGAGCCGCCAGGCCCCGGAGCGGGTACCCTGGGAACCCTGGGAAAAGGGAAACGTTTATTTGTTCCCTCTTTTCCATTCGCATTCTCCCCTGAGGTGGTAGGCTTTCAAAGGAAGAAAACAGACCAATCCAGGGCACTCCCGCGGTGGGAAAGAGTTGGGGAAGAAGTCTTAGAATCTCCCAAGTTGTTGCAAATGAGCTCCCGTGTGACCGTGTGGGTCTAGAAGTGCAGACACCTCGATACCTCGATACCTCGGGTGTGTGTACCAGAGTCTGCCGCCAACCTGGTAGAGGAACAGAAATGGAGAAACCCTTCTACTCTTTCTGAAACGGGGTCTGCCTGACTGTTTATAATGAGCCCGGGTTCCCTAGGTCCCTCGCCCGGGTAACGTCCCCACACCGGCCTGCTTCTGAGAGTTCTAGGTCGGAACATGTTGGCTGATTCCACTTTGCAGTGTCTACTTTGGTGAGAACCATTGTAAATTGCCCTAAAGGCTCTTTTCTGGACAGATTTTTTTTTAAACATGTAGTCTTCTGTTTGTTTACTGTTACTTGAAACCATTTCAGTACCTCACTCCTGTCATTAAGATTTAATACTTAAAGGCCACCCAATGCTTTAAAAAAATGTTATCTTCAGTGTGTAGGGGAGGAAATGGAAATTGATGCCAAGTTAGGAAGAAAAAGAAAGAAGCCTGGGATGAAGTGCTTCAAATGGTTTGAGAGTAGACTGTCTGTCTTAATTTGTTTTACTTCTCTGAAAATACTGTGGGGGAGTTTTGGAGTATAAATTCTGGCAGGCATGGTTACTCATGTCATTGCCTGCAGGATCATGGTCCCACGTGTCTTAAGAAATGCTATGGGTTTTCAACTTCAATCGCTCTTTAAAACCACTATTTAAACTAATGGTCTCTCCTACACTGAATTAGTAGCAAACCAGTTCACTTTCTATTCTGTCTCCACCAAACCCTCACCCCCAGCTTTTCAAAAGATAATATTAATTATGAAGAGTCTGAGTTCAAAAAGCAAGTTAGTAGGGTTCTTTAAATTTCTACCTCAATCAGAACTGCTTCATCTGTAAAGTGGAAATGATACCCTATAGATACAACCCACATAAAGCACCAAAAGAAGTTGTGTGCTTCTTTGAAAAGTGACTTGAGTTTGTTTTTATCAGTGGTTAATTCTTAAAGCTGAAAAGTTAACATGGCTTTCTCTTTAAATCTGCATTCTTAAGATCTCCCTTTCAATGTTTCTAGACGTGGAGCCTTTTTGGATATTTAAAAAGCATCTTTTGGATCAAAAAGGAGCTTATTTTCAATGAGCCCTCTCAATAATTAGTATAATGTTTAAGAATGTTTCTAAAGGGATCTATAAAGGCTTTAACACTTCATAATAGAGAGGATCAAGAAAAACCTATTACAAAGTGACTCTTAACACACCCTCTGAAATAGTTTCTAGTGTTCATCTTATATATGTTAAAATATGTGTATATATGATTATATATTTGCATTACATGAAATATCTAAGTTACCTAAGCTTTCCTTTGTAATAGGACTGGAGTCCTCCCAATGAAGTCTTATATGTACAGTCTTATTCTACCTTCTTGTACATATTAGTATATTAGCTCTAACAAAAGTTTAATACTTTATGATTATATAAAAACCCCGAATTCTTTCCTCCCCCCCCATTTTGAGTCCTTATCCAGACATATTTGAATTAAAATCACTGGTTAAAAAATAATTATTATTGGATGTAGTAGAGTATTTGAGGATGTAAATTGTTTAATATAGAAAAACACTATATCATGAGGCAAATAAAATGGAGTTAGCACAAAAAAGTACAAGAGGAAGTAGATGCACCTATTGCCCCATCTCATACTTCAGTGCCCTGTTGTTTGGGTGGTTTTCTGGCTTGGTCTTACATTCATATACTAGTACATGTACAGATTGGATCAATACCAGCCTTCAGGGAAGGCTCTCTTCACCTTACTTTCCTCTGGGGGTGGGGAAAGGGAAGATGAAAGAGGTTGTTTTTGTTGTTGTTTTTTAAAGTAAACTTTGAGGAAAGTGGAAAAGCAGGCACTGGGTCTAGCTTTAGGGAATTGGAGGGTTGTCATAACTCTGCCCTAAAGCCTGAATCTACCTTTGTTTTCTGTTTGTTTTTTAAAAGGTTGGATAAGATAAAAATGCAGAAGAATGCCCTAAACAGTGGAATATGAAAGGAAGTCCATACTTCTAATCTTTAATTGGGCCCCTTTTAGGAAAAAATAGGAGGGAAATATATCTTTATTTCCAGGGCAGTATTCACCATTGTTAATATTTTTTATTGCTTCTTTGCTGTTTTCCAGTATAGTGACTATATACATCTTTTATAACAAAACCTAAGACTTTAAAAATTTTATCCAAATGATACTCTCATTAATGCTTCGGAAAGAAACACATAACTAATTAAAAGCCAGTGAAACTTTTTTTTTTCAGCTTCAAAGTACCTTTTATATTTCATGAACAGTAGTGCTAATCTGATAGAATTGGAAAGAAACACATAACTAATGAAAAGTCAGTGAAACTTTTTTTTTCAGCTTCAAAGTACCGTTTATATTTCATGAACAGTAGTGCTAATCTGATAGAATTTGGACAGATCATCTTTATTATGAAATAGTGTAGCAAAAGGTATATTTCATATTTTTCCAAATTACCTAATTCCTATTTTAAGCATTAGATCCATTTGTAGAGTGTAACTTTTGTTTTTGCATCACTGCTGTTCTTTTACATTAAACTTAATTAAGCATAAACCTAGTCATTGTGTCCATTTCACAAGAGCAAACTTTAGGAGACTGCATTAAGGCAAGTTCAATCCAATACTCATGTTTATTCTCCAAGGTTAAAGTTGTGCTTATAGAGTGATGGCAACAGTTTAAGGTGAGGGGTAATTATGATTTGTTCCCTGAAATGATAATATTTCACCTTCCTACTTAGAAAATATAAAGGGCTGTGATTTATTAAGTCACCATTTTATGCCTCATTTCTGGAAGTATAAATGGCAAACAATGCTTGGGTGCCTTTTTAAAACCACTTATAATTAGCTTTATTTTTTTCTCCAGTAGTCAAATCATTAAGTAGGGTTTGCAATACTTTACTCCTTGACTCTCTTATTTAATGTTAAATGGGAGCCAGGGCTTCTGCTATATCAACATTTAAATCTACCTTAGCATTTCTGTTTTGTAAGCAAAATGGATTCCCTGACTTCTTTGTAAGGGTAAGTATTTATCTTAAGGAAACTTCTTGTTCACTGTCTTCCTCTCTCATTTTAACCAATGCACACTGTATAATAATTTGGCCAAAAAAGTAGATTTAGAAGGTATGTGGTTTGGTTTCTTTGGCTAACAAGTTTCATAGTGGAAGAATTTCGTAAAAGAAAAAATAAATCAGTAAGGAGGACTTTAAAGTGTTCAGGAATTTTCCCTGTGTTCATAGAAGTTCCATTTAAAAAAACAAAAACCAAAAAAACACCTGAAGTCTTTAAAGGAATTTAAAAAAAAAAAGACACCTTTTTAACACAAAATGTAGAATATGTTATTGTGATTTTCTGGTTGGGTCTAAGGAGATATATCTACACACATATTTGTGTAAATCACACCTTTTCAATGGAAACATTCAGAGTGTGCATTAAAACATGAAGGGACCAGCTTTTTAAATTTTGCCTAATACACAAAACCAATGACTATCCTCTTAAGTATTAGAATGAGTTCTCATCCTGCCCCTTTTTCCTTCACAGGTGAATGACCTGTGCTGGCATGTTCGGTGTCTCTCCTGCAGTGTCTGCAGAACCTCCTTAGGAAGGCATACCAGTTGTTATATTAAAGACAAGGACATTTTCTGCAAACTTGATTATTTCAGGTACACTGTGATTTTTTTTTTAGAAAGTAAATATTCTAAAAAATTATTATGCAAAGAGAATTTTATAAATAGACTTTCTTGTCCAGTGTTATTTATTGAAGCCCAGTTTTTCTTATGTAATAGATTTCAAAATGAGAATGCTTTATATCTTTGAGGTATCATTTGTATTACAACAAATAAATAAGCATGTTTAGATGTTTTAGGACTTCAGTATACAAAAATGACTTTGGTAAATGAAATTTTTAGGTATTAAGAACTTCTTTGCTGTGCATAGATACAAAATATGAAATATAAGATGACTTATCGTGAGAAAGCCCCTGGTTTGGGAGAGTGGTAAGATGAAATAATTATGGAGGACAAATCCAGGTTTTGTTTAAGCTTTTACCCATTTACTGTAGGATGACCCCTAGTTATACACCTATAAAATGCCAGCAGTTTTGAGACTGTGATAAACCAAATTAATCAGAATTGACTGTTCCAGTATCAGAAATGTACCAAATCTAAATATTCTGCCTAAAAATCCTGTTTCTTTTGTCTGTTTTTTGACCTTTATTTTGTGAGATTATATTTGCCTGGTTATTAAATGTAACATTTTCTCTGTGTCATTTCTTTGTAATTATTTAAATGGACAGTTTCTTCCAGGATATAACTCAATTCTTAATGGATAGATGTCTAGAAATTCTTAAGCATGACTTTAAAAAATTACCATATTTTTAAATTTGCATTTCCAAATGAAGAAGAATGTTCATTATGAAATTGGGAAGTTAATACTATATAATAAAGTTTGTAATACAAATTATGTTGTTTATACCCAATTTCAAAAACTGATCTCAGAGAGTTTAGCAATTGATTTGAATAAATTGGTAGGTAATTGAAAGCACTTCATAAAATCCAGAGTCCTTTATTTTATAAAGGCACAGAATTTTATAATTACCAAAAATTTGTATTTCTCATCAGGTATGCTTTCCATTTCCTCAAAAAATAGTAGCAATTTGCCTGGTCTTTCACTTAGGATATGCTAATCTTAATGTTTTATGGTAATCTAAAGTCTTTTGAAAGATTTGGTTTCAGAGGCTTACTGAAGGTCTAGTTCTTTGGGATGTTTTTATGCTTCATATTTTATATTCTGAAATGTGTTTTTAGGATTCAATTTTTCAGGTTAATTTTTTTTAAAATGGCAATACCTCTAAAGATATATTAATGAATAGACAGGATATGCCAAGCCATGACTACGATTGTGAAAGGAGACGTGGCAAAGAGTCACTTGGACTACTTTAGGATTCAGTTTTTCAGGTTAATTTTTTTAAAATGGCAATACATCCAAACATATATTAATGAATAGACAACAGACATATATACTTATCTCGGACATGGATATGCCAAGCCGTGACTACAATTGTGAAAGGAGACGTGGCAAAGAGTCACTTGGACTAAGAGAAAAAAGAAATATTTACATCTGGCATTTTGTTAAGATTAATCTGCATTTAATGTTCAGATGTGTCTCTGGAAGTTTTAGGTTATATTTCCCATCTTCCCGTGATTAGCAATGTGATAGTTTATTCACCAAAGGAAGTATTTTCTGAGTTTTCCTTCCTTTCATTCTTCCCAGGGTGAACAATTTCTGTTTTCCTCATTCTTTTATAGTATCAATTTCAAATATTACAATGTTTTAACTTAAAAATGTTATTTAAAGTATTTTCTAATGATCTCAACTTGGTTTTAAGAGATCAATATTTATATCTTCAGTGGTATGCTTTTGTATTTTTAGGTTTCAATCTGGAGTGTGTGTGTGTGGTATCTTGGGTCTCTTAAAATGCACTGATATTTGTTACAAGAGAGATATTGAAACTTATATTTCATTTATTTTAAAAGAAAAAAATACAATCTTCCTTTAAGGTAATAATGAGAAGTTTTTGTTTTACATATAGGTTTGAATTATGACCATATCTCATCTTGATTGCTTACCATACTGACTTAGAAAAATAATCGATTCCTGTTTTATTTTGAAAAGATTTAAATGCTTTGCTTAATCCAATGAGTAACGTAACGCACTAGTTTAATCTCAAACTGATGAATATGTCACCGAGCATTAAAATCTTCACCTCCCGCCCTTCTGTTTGTGTAGAAGGTATGGAACTCGCTGCTCTCGCTGTGGGAGGCACATCCATTCTACTGACTGGGTCCGGAGGGCCAAGGGCAATGTCTATCACTTGGCGTGCTTTGCCTGCTTTTCTTGCAAAAGGCAACTTTCCACGGGAGAGGAGTTTGCTTTGGTGGAAGAGAAAGTCCTGTGCAGAGTGCATTATGACTGCATGCTGGATAATTTAAAAAGAGAAGTGGAAAATGGTAAATATATACTTAAAATACTTTTGAGTCTTTTGGAGCAGTGAATACAGGAATAAAAACAGTTTTTCCTCCAGATCCCTTTAATGCATTATTTTGTGCAGTGTAATTGTGGTAAAACTCATTAAGCACTTTACTGTTCGTGGCGGTCTCCATCTGTTTATTTACCGGGAAAGCCATACCATGTGTATTAGCGTTGTGCCGTATTCTCAGTCTAAGGACTTGAGTTTAGATTCTGATTTGCTTTTTGTAACTAGTCGTTTCCCTGTCTTTGCCTTCCTAAGGATGAGCTTTAGATGGGTACTTCTAACGTTTTGCCCTTGTGACTAAGTGTTCAAGCCTACATATGGATTACTGTTTTAACAGTCTATTTCTAGTGTGTTTCAAAACTTAAGGGGTTTGGCAATCTAGACGTTTAGTTTTACTCCAAGCCAATAGACGTAAGAAACCTCTTATTGCATGACTGCTGAACCCACCTGAGTTACCAACATGTGCGGTGTGTTTTTTAAATGTAGGCAACGGGATTAGTGTGGAAGGTGCCCTCCTCACAGAGCAAGATGTTAATCATCCAAAACCAGCAAAAAGGGCTCGGACCAGCTTTACGGCAGATCAGCTCCAGGTAGACGTGACAATGAATTTATGATTTTTGAAGCCCCTCCCTACCCTCCAAAAAACAACTTTATGCTGTCTAAAATCATGTTTATGTTTTCAAAAAGGTTAACTTATGCTTTGTGTGGGAAAAACTTGGTGAATGCATAAAATATACATTTGGCCCTAAAGTATTTATCAATGTTCATTCAAGCTTTGTTTTTCTGGGATCTGTTGGCATTGACATCAAAGTGGAAGCAAAATGTTAGTCTGTCCTGACTTCCTGATAAAATCAGTTTAACCCAGGCATTTACATTACTACATATAATTGCAATAGCAAACAAAATATTTGGGGATTCAACAGAAAGAGTCATACAATATGTGTGTGAGTCAATGGGACACTGACGTGTTCATCTTTTTAACAAACCGCAATGAGTCTTTTAATGGACAAGATTATACATTTTCTGAGTAGGATGATTATGTCCCCTGAAAAGGGAGGGATTATTTTCAGCTTAGTTGCCCTAAGTATAATTGTCATAGATTTGGTTTATGAAAATTGTCAAGAAAACTATTAAATAATTATTGCTTACTTTATATTTAAGTCTACACATATAATGACTCTTTCTGGCATTTTTTAAGATAAAAAATTATGTTTTCTAAAAGATTAATGTGGCTGAGGTATTTCATGTTAAAGTAAAGTAGCATTTATTGAGCACCTACTATGTATTGCTGGATGTTTTATACATTGTATCCATCTTAGCTCAAACTTTAAAGGGTATTTATATAATGTTAACAAATAAGTGAAGGTAATTTTTGAAAAGTCACATATAATATTTTAAGACTTTCCAGTATTTAAGATGAATACAAGTGTTTCAAGAAGATAATTTTTATTTTGAGAATGATTAACAAAGAAACCTTGCTGTGGCACAGATATTCCAAGGCAATTTAATGATATTGGAAAGCAATCTGGCATTAAAATCTAAAGCCATTCTGAAAAACTTTCAGATTGTTTTGGACTTCTTAACTTAGGCATAGAATACATGGTCAATAAGTAATAAATGGAAGATAAAACAAATGAAAGAAATATCTCTGCTTGAACCTTGCTTTACTGGACACCTCATTGGATTGCAATGTAGATCACAAAAAGCCCTAACTTAGGAGACATGAGTACCTGTGGGTGATATTTCCTCGCAGCAGAATACCCAGTAGCTAAAAGGTGTGTGAGAAAATGGAATCTCTAGTAAAAATATATTCTGTTTTTAAAGTCAGCCATTCCCATAAGGGCTGGCTATCATTTTAATTATAAAACTGATAACTCTAATATCATATACAATTTATTATTAACATTACAATTGTGAAAATTTGAAACCACTTTAGGTAATCTCATATAGGAAGATAAATACTGATTAAATAAAAAGGGAATGATATTTGTGGAGAACTTTGTGCTCCCAGTCCTATGACAGACATTTCTCTGCATTTTCTCCCTTAATTCTTTCAAGTCCTTGATGTAGGTAGCCTCATCCAAGAGGTGCAGGAACTTTCCTCAGGGCAGATTGCCAAGGAAATGGCAGAGAAGAGATTTGGACCCTGCTCCCCAAACCTCTGGTCTTTTCATTTTGCTTGGCCTCCGAGGAGACTATGAATCTGTGCCTAACAAAACTCGATTTAATGGCAGCAGCAGCTAGAACAGAAGAGTGCGATTCCAAATCTTGTAGATGGCCTTATGGTTTTAATTGCAATTGTTCACAAACTATTTAATCAAGCATTCTTATATGAAAATGTGTGGTGGCCCTGGTCAGGTGGCTCGGTTGGTTGGAGCGGCATCACGTACACCAAAAAGTTTACAGGTTCGATTCCCGGTCAGGGCACATCAAGAGACAAACAATGTTTCTCTCACACATCAATGTTTTTCTCTCTCTCCCCCCGACCCTACCTCTCTCCATATAAAAATCCATAAACATCCTCAGGTGAAGATATTTTTAAAAATGTATTGTGAACCATGTTTTTAAAAATCCGTATCAGAATAATCAGTTTTGAAAAATGAAAGCAGGAAATGATAGGCTTTCAAAGCATGCTCTCATTTATTCAATCTCTACTAGTATTTACCTATTCCAGGAATGACTGAAAAAAATGAGGCTCCATCCTGTCCTCAAGTGGTTCTTTATAATTTAGGAATCTGGAATAGCTATAGATTTTTTTAAAAACTTGAATTATTATATTTTGTCAGAACCTCTAATAAATCAGGTCATGTAACCTCATTATCAAATTGTCCTGCCTTTCAGTAAAATAACAAAGCATGATAGGTAATCCGTAGGTCAAGATAATACATGAAGTAGTAGAGTTAAACAGAGTAGAATTAAAATGGGAGGAATAAACAAGAAAAATTTCCAAAATTCTTTAGAAACTTATGGGAGGAAAAAGTCATTTCACACTTACAAAATAAAATAAAAAATATTTCAAATATTGTTTTATTTGTAGGAATGATATTTAAGACGTTTCAGCCACTATTATGGTTTGCCTGTAGTAGTTAGATGCACTTGCTCAATGATCATTAATGCTAAACGTGCCAAGGTTAGCACCTACTTTAATCTACTTTCAGATCCAGTTGGTCTGCTGCTACTTTGCAGAATCCTGACATTTCTGGTAGAATTTCTGGCCTTAAAATGATGAGTGTCTCTACAGGCTTATTCCTTGACCATGTTAAAAGTAGGGTGGGTTTGGGCATCATTAGTGACTGGAGAATAATAAAACTAATTCAAATTCAAAGGGTTGTGTGTGTGTTTTTCTGAGGCTAAACACTGATAAGTACATCTTACTTTTCCTTTAGCATAATCCAATCCTAAACCATCAGTGTTGATTTAAGTTTTGCTTTATTCCTTGATGAGAAATGGCTTTATTTAATGTAATTTGGTTCTATGATTAAACTTGTGAATCTGAAATGCATTTGTGAAAAGCATGCTGTTTTTGTTCTATAAATTATCAATAGTGGCTTTGAAAGCAAATGCTTTTCTCCTTCAAAATTAAAAAAACAAAAAACACAAAGATAATTTGCTCATTCTTTTTTCTCTTTGAAATTTACACACTCAGCCTCCTATAAACACCACTGTATTTGCATATGAAATAACACATTTGAAGTAGAAAAGGAAGAATGAAGTGAACTGAGTGAAATTATGAACTTTTAGTCTGATTCTATCCATTTTTAAACCAAAAACATAGCTACTGTTTACAGTGAATATGTGGACAGACTTGGACAGGAAGCCAGGAATACCTTATCTAGAAGAGTCACTAATCAGAAATTAACTGGAAAAAAATTATATAATTTGTAAACCTCTTAAGATTTCCGAGAACAACATTGGTGAACCACACTATCTTCAGATTTTCCTCCCACAATCAAGGTTCATTCTGTCACAAACACAAGCACAAACACTATTGACAGGAAGGGGAATTTGAATAATAAGACATTCCCTTTGCCCTCAGAAAACTCACTTTCTGCTAGGGAAAACTAAATTTGCCAATGACTTATTTAGCTATCCTTTGAGATGGGCACTGGCAAAAGATAGTAAATATTAAATGAGGGTCATAGTGGAGAATGTAATTCATATGGCCTGCTGCAATGGTGTCCAGGCCAGCAGAGCTTAACGTCTTTAGTTAGGTTGGTCACCCACCCTCATCCCATGCCCATGGACATGCACAATCATGTTGCATGCCAGACTCCCTCTCTTCTTTCTAATATAACATCAATGTTGAGAGAGAATCATTGATTGGCTGCCTCCTGCACACCCTCTACTAGGGATCAAGCCCACCACCCAGGCATGCACCCTTACCAGGAATCCAACCGTGACCTCCTGATTCATAGGTTGACATTCAACCACTGAGCCACACCGGCCAGGTTATAATTCTTTATATTTTACTAAAGGCCTGCTGCATGAAATTCACGCACTCGGCGTGGTGGGGCGGGAGGGGTGTCCCCTCAGCCCGGCCTGTGTCCTCTTGCAGTCTGGGAGCCCTCAGAAGATGTCCAACTGCTGCAGAAGTAGGAGAGGCTCCCACCACCACAGCTGTGCTCGCCAGCTTTATAATTCTTTATATTTTACTAAAGGCCTGGTGCATGAAATTCACGCACTCGGCGTGGGGGAGGGGGGAGGGGTGTCCCCTCAGCCCGGCCTGTGTCCTCTTGCAGTCTGGGAGCCCTCAGAAGATGTCCAACTGCTGCAGAAGTAGGAGAGGCTCCCACCACCACAGCTGTGCTCGCCAGCTATGAACCAGGCTTCTGGCTGAGAGGCACTCCCTGTGTGGGAGTACACTGACCACCAGGGGCAGTTTCTGCCTTGAGTGACTGACCCCTGGTGGTCATTGCACATCATAGCGACTGGTCGGGAGCCCTCAGAAGATGTCCAACTCCTGCAGAAGTAGGAGTCCAGCCATGAACCAGGCTTCTGGCTGAGAGGCACTCCCCCTGTGGGAGTGCACTGACCACCAGGGGGCAGTTTCTGCCTTGAGTGACTGATCCCTGGTGGTCAGTGCGCATCATAGCGACCGGTCATCCCACCGTTCGGTTGATTTGCATATGAGCCTTTTATTATATAGGATAATACTTCCCTGGATTGATTGACTTTTAACTAATAAAATAAAAATGTCCCATTTGATTCCCATGGTTAATCTTTTCTGAAAAAATATCTGAAAGCTCTTAATTTATGCATTTATTCTGGTGCTCCCCCCCTCCACAGCACTCTCTATATCTCTTTCTCTCTCTCTTAACTTTCATAAGATTTTATTTGAGTCAAACTGTGATAACATATGCCAGGAAGCAAGATTTCAAATGCTTTCCACACCTCTCTCAACCTTATGTTGTTGGTAGTTATGGGCATGTCTGAATCTCTGCCCTGGAAAGTTGAGATCAGGAGCAGTTTTTTCATGTTCTGCTATCTTACAGCACTTAGCACAGTGGTTCCAAGCCAAAGATTCACATCAGAATCACCTGGGGACTTTTTCAATGTATAGATGTTTAGATCCTGAGGAATTCTTATTCAGTGCTGATGGGTGTCTCTTTTTAAGATTCCAGATACGTCTTTGCTTAGAGCAGCGGTTCTCAACCTGTGGGTCGTGACCCCTTTGGCGGTCGAACGACCCTTTCACAGGGTTTGCCTAAGACCATCCTGCATATCAGATATTTACATTACGATTCATAACAGTAATGTTTAGATCCTGGGGAATTTTTATTCACTGCTGATGGGTGTCTCTTTTTAAGATTCCAGATACTTCTTTGCTTAGAGCAGTGGTTCTCAACTTGTGGGTTGAGACCCATTTTGGCAGTCGAACGACCCTTTCACAGGGTTCGCCTAAGACCATCCTGCATATCAGATATTTACATTACGATTCATAACAGTAGCAACATTACAGTTATAAAGTAGCAACGAAAATAATTTTATGGTTGGGTCACACATGAGGAACTGTATTTAAAGGGCCAAAAGGATGAGAACCACTGGCTTAGAGCAAGTGCTTAAAACAATTAATGATGAAATGGTTGCAATTAAGTGGAATACATTTGTTGTGCTGTGTACTATTTGCAGACTAATAAAAATTGTAGTAGGGGCCTTGAACCTCTTTAGCTCAGTAGAGGTTGAAGATAATTGTATATGATTTTTGTATTTTTAAAAGTTTTATAATGCTAACACTTTTTTTAAATCCTCACCTGAGGATACGTTGATTGATTGATTGATTGAGAGAGAGAGAGAGAGAGAGAGAGAAACATCATTTGGTTGCCTCCTGTACACGCCCCAACCGGGGATTGAACCCACGACCCAGCCATGTGCCCTGACAAAGAACCGAACCTGCAACCTTTTTGGTGTTTGGGATGATGCTCCAACCAACTAAGCCATCTGGCCAGGGCTCTAACGCTGACACTTTTTAACAGAACAGGAAAAAAGTGAATAGACTTAACACTGCTTATGCTTGTGGGTTAAAGTATGGAAAGAAAAAAAAGGTGAGCTTATTTTTAAAGCATAGTTGAAAAACAAGTTTTCATGTTGAAATTGATTATTTTTTAAAGATCTTAACATAGCAACTTATGTGTAAATTTACAAAATGTGCACTCTTTTCAGTTATACATACATCCCCATATTGACTTTCAAGTAACAAAATATAAGTACCCCATTTTCTTGTGCATGTCTTCTCTCCTATCATCAAAATGCAGAAGATTGGTTCTTTTTAGCTACTTACGACTTATATATTTTTAGGTGATGCAGGCACAGTTTGCTCAGGACAACAACCCAGATGCCCAGACCCTCCAGAAACTGGCAGAAAGGACAGGCTTGAGCAGACGGGTGATACAGGTAGGTGATTGTTTTAAACATTAATCAAGAGATACTGAAATTTCTATTCTAGGTCTTTATGAGTGTGCATTGCTTTGTGAAGACTTGCCAAAGCATTAGTTTCTCATTTCAGGTCACTTCACACTCTAAATCATTTTTTTTTTCAACTTGATAATTAGCCTGCTTGGGCTGGGCTATCATTTGTTAAGTGACTCCTTGTACAAGTTGCTTCATTCATTGCTCACAGCAACCCTAAGGTCCTCAGGCTAAAAAAGACAACCGAGGTTCCAAGCTAGATCTGGTTCTAAGGTCAGTGTTTTTTCTACTTTTCTAAGACCTTGTATGTGAGTGCGTGTGCATGTGTGCAGAGGGTGTTGATGGCCTCTGTTAAAGATCCAGATAGAGGGAGTGATGTGAACAAAGTTAGGGAAGGATGAGCTAGACCAAACTTGTCAGAATGTAAGATTTACGTTTGCAAATTGTGGGAGAAGAAATTGGTGGAGCCGATCTTGGAGAGGTATGTAAATGCAGAGTTCTTTTCTTCTCAGGAGAAAGCCATGATACGTGATTTTAGGAAGAAAAGGTTGACAGCATGTGGGATGAATTAGGGTTGGGAGAGGCTAGATAGAAATAAGCAGATTAATTGGGATGTCCAGGAAAGGAGTAATTTTTAAAAAAAAGAAGATTAATGGGTGAGGTGGCCTAGAATTCATCAAGAAACGTTTTATTGACTGTCCACTGATGGCAAGTGCTGGATGCTGGAGACACAAGGAAAGGACCAGACACTGTAATGGGGAAGCAAAAGTCAAAGGTGACTCTTAGATTTGAAGTCAAAACATTCATGGGAATGGAGCTATTAACAGGAATATTCAGGTCAAAAGAAAGCTAGTTTGGTAATATGGAGGGAGATGAATTCCCTTTTCCCTCTGCTATTTCTGCAATGATGGTGCCATTGGGCATGTAAACAGGTATTTTTTGAGGATGAACAGAACTGAAGCAAAAAGATCTAATGCTCTGAGATTGGGTAAAGACCCTTTAGAAAGAATTATAGACAGTAAAAAGTGAAGAATGGATTTTAGGGAGAGAGCAGGGCAAGAGGTGCTGTTTGAGTGGAACATCGTAACAGCCAGAATAAATGAGTAGAAACATTATGGAGGCCAAAGGAGTGAGGTGGGTTCAAGATGGAGGTGGTCAACTGTGCCAAGTTCTTAAAGAGAGATCAGGGGAATGGAAAATAATTTTAAATAACATTCAAAGTTCAAAACGTTTGAGAAATTAATGCAAGCAGAAGCAGGTCTCTGCAAGGGAATGCAGGAAAAGGTAGATTTCACTCATGATGTAGAGCTTTCTCAGTAGGAGAGTCTATCCAAATGTCATGGACTACCATTGGAGGAAGTGATTTCCTGTGGCTGGAAGGGAAGCTTCCTTCATCGAGGTCCTTCAGACACAATTGGCTGGGGCTTCTGTCTATTACGAGACTATATATTCTGCAGCAGCTGCCAGATTCATGACTACTATGTTTTTTATTATTTTGAAGTTGAAAGCAAAATAAAATGGAGGGTTTTCTGAGTCCTTTTCTAATTATTTGAAGAAGACCTCAGACAGATATCTCTCATATAATTTTTAGGTATTTCAGTCACCAGTATTATGAGCAAGTATATATTGTTGGATAGTGGCTTTTAATATGTGAGGATTAGGGTGAGAGTGGGGTGTAGGGAAGGGTATGAGGGGGGAAATGATGATGGAACCATTTTTGACAGGGTGGTGAACACACAATACAGTGTATAGATGATGTGTTGGAGAATTGGACATCTGAAACCTGTATAATTTTGTTAACTAGTATCACCCAATAAATTCAATAAAAAGGAAAAAGATATGTGAGGATTGAATTTAAATATTTTTGACAAGATAGCAAAGGAAGATGTACTAGCATACAAATATATACACATGGAGTCTACAAAAGTAGGTTAACAATTGTTCTTATGGAAATAATACAATAATGAATAAGTAATAATACAAGAATAAACTGTTTCCTATATTCACAACTGTAAACCTACTTTTGCCCCACACTATATTATTTGTATACTAGAGGCCCAGTGCACGAAATTTGTGCACTGGTAAGGTCCCTAGCAGCTGGCAGCGGCCAGCTGGGTACTCCCTCCCTTCCCCTTGCCAGCCCCACCCCCTAGTTGAACTCCCAGTCGAAGGGACAATTTGCATACTACACTTTTATTATATAGGATATACCTGTGTGTGTATAATTTAAATATATAGTCCTTCACAATATTTTTGAAGAGTTAATTACTGTGATCTCAAACAGTAATCATGAACTGTTTGCCCAGCCTACTTCCTAGCACTGGACACACTTTAGAAAAGTTAACGAAAAGAGTTTTAATGACTAGGCCTTGATTCTAATATGAAAATTAGGTTGTATGCAAAGATTAGATAGAAACAGTGGTCTGATACATAGAGACAGTCTCACCTTTACTAGCTAAAGTCTACTTAGAGAGACATTAGTAACAGACCAGACTGTCATTGTACTAAGATGATAGAATAAAGATAGATGATTTTATTTTGAACTCTGTATCTAAGTATAATCACTGTTCACATATCCTTTCAGATAGGTGAATTATGAGTTGTGTACCTTTAGAAAAATAGTAAAACTGTTCTATTTCTTTCAGTATGTTTACTGGGAATATCTTTTCATACTAAGAACTACATCAATTTTATTGCTGCACATATTGAGCATAGAATAATTTAGTTTACTTCCAATTTTTTTATTATCATTTGAATGCTTCAGTGAACAATATTGTATACATACTTTGCACACTTGTTCAATAGTTTTGATAGGATACATTTATAGAAGTGGGCTTTTTGAGACAAAAGATAAAACATTTTTAGGGCCTTTAACTGATAGCACAAAAATCAATTCCAGAAAATCCATACCAATTTATTCTGTCAGTAGTTACTTATGAAAGTTGCTCTTCCCCAACTATGTGCATCCTTATTGCTATCCTTCTTTAATGTCCTTTCCAATTTGATAGTCAGAAAATCTCATTGTCTTTATTTGAGTTTTTCCATTATCAATGAACTTTAACATAAAATCGTTATTTTAGCCAACTTTTCTACTGGATTGTTTCCTTTCTCCCCATCTTACTTTTATTGATTTCTATTTATCATGTTAAACTTTCATAGTTCAATTTTCCTTATTTATTGGGGTGAAATTGGACATCTCCCACTGGGGATATGCCCGCAACCAAGGTACATGCCCTTGACCGGAATTGAACCCGGGACCTTTCAGTCCGCAGGCCGACGCTCTATCCACCGAGCCAAACCGGTTTCGGCACCATCTTACTTTTATTGATTTCTAATTATCATGTTAAACTTTCATAGTTCAATTTTCCTTATTTATTGGGGTGAAATTGGTTAATAAAATTATGTAGATTTCAGGTATACAATTCTACACTATATCATCTATGTATTGTATTATGTGCTTACCACCTAATCATCAATTTTCTTTTCATTTTTCCACCACATAGAATTTTTTATATTTTTATGTATTCAAACCTCTCAATATTTATTTTCTTATAGCTTTGGCCATTTTTATGTTTCTCTACTGAGAGAGATATCAATATTGGCTTTTTGTTTCCTTAAGCATTATGGTTTCAGTTATTCACACCTATACTTTAATTTATCTGGAATTGATTTGGTTACATGTGAGGAAGGGATTTTTCTATTTTTTTTTCTCCTAAATGATTACTAGGCTTTCTTAAATCAGTATCATGCCATTCTTTCAAATAATTTAAAATCCATATTTTTCATACATTATTTTTATATTTGACTCTTTGAGCTTCCAAAGAGATTAGTTTTATGCATGTCTTCTGGGTGCATGTCTTTTCTTTTGCAGAGTGTCTACATGACCTACTTCTAGCTTATGTGGTTGACAATGTAGAATTCAAAAACTATTGAAGCAATAGCTCAGAAGAAAATGTAACTCTTGTTAGAGGTTTCCAAATCAGAAGGAATAACTTTTAAGTCAGTGAGGAGTGTCAGAAGGACTTGTACTTGAACTCCAAAGCTGGTAACCCACACGTCAGAAGTTATTTTCTGAAGTCTGGTATCATCAGCTATATTTTGCTGTGCAAATTACATGACACTTTGTGTTTACAAATCTCTCTCTGCTGACTACCTGTTGATGATCTTTCCAAGGAGCTATTTGATTCAGCATTAAGGTAGCTATTTTGTTCTTTATGTCATGCCTTCTTCGTATCTATTTCCAAAGTTTGGTATTTTTTTTAAACAGCTGAGTAGGTTCCATCCAATATTTAATCTATTAGAGACGTAAGATACTTTGAAGAAACTCAGGGAACCACAGTGCCATGTATATTAGGTTACATGTGCCCTCTGGGTGCATGTCTTCTGGGTGCTGTCCTGGAAAAGGCAGGTGGCAGCAGTTCCCGTTTACATGTTGGAGAATGTGTGAGTGTATCTTCATGGCTGGGTGATGACAGCAGTGGCACCCATTGTTCCGGAGCCTGTGGAGAGAACTGTGAGTGGAGACTTTGGATGTGGTCTCTGTATAGGTATCTAAGGATCTAACACTCCAGAAGATGGGGGAGAAGGCTGTGACTTCCTCCTCCTTTTCTTCGACACATGTCTAAGTCTCGTTCCTGAAACATTTCTCGGGTACTCCTTTCAGCCACCTGCTCAGGGCTGCACAACCCATTATGTCATTCATTTTTATTTCTTTAGCATTAAACCTTTGAGTTTATACTTTACCAGCCCTCTATTTTGAGTCCCAAGGGCAGGGTGTGTCTTAGAAATAGCCAACTTCTTTTTTTTTTTTTATAGACACTATTCTTTTTTAAAAAAATATTTTTATTTCAGAGAGGAAGGGACAGGGAGAGAGAGATAGAAACATCAGTGATGAGAAAGAATCATTGATCAGCTGCCTCCTGCATGTCCCCCATTGGGGATTGAGCCCACAACCTGGGCATATGCCCTGACCGGGAATCAAACCATGACCTCCTGGTTCATACGTCAATGCTTAACCACTGAGCCACAGCAGCTGGGCAAGCCAACTTTTTCAGATAAATCTTTTCCCAGCTTCCTTCTTTTCCATGTTATTTAGCTCCGATTCCCTTTTGCCAGCCCTGGGCAGAGATGTATGTCCCTGACTTTTCCCCAGCCTTTGTTCCAAACCCTAAATTTTCTTTTCTTAGTTTTCTTAATTTTTTTCCCTTACACTTTCTTTCTCCTCATGACAGAATCTTTGGCGTGATGGCACATAAATGCTATGATATTTTAATAAAGTAACACTCTATAGTCCAAGTTTCATCTAATGGCAGGGAGTTCAGTCATAGGCAGTTTATTGCTGGAAGCATTCGGGGCAATCTAATCTTACTTACCTGACCTGCTTGCCCTGAATTTGCTTTCTTTATTTCTGGGCAAGAGTGACAAGAGGATGGTTAGCTCTTTACATTTTGTGAACTGTTTCACCAGCGTATTTGTTTGTATTTTATTCTACTTAAGTATTACTAGTTTTTTTCTTATTGTAAGCCTGACCTTAACATGCTTCTTAGGGGATAGCCTATGTATTCAGTAGGAGAAATTGAAGCCAGCAGGTTAAAATGTGCCTGGAATCATTGAATCAAGGGGCTTGTAGAAAGCTTTAAGTTCTCAGTAGGGATTTTAGGCATTTGAAAAAAGATTTGAAATAAGTCCAGCAGGTGTCTAAGAATACATTTAGTAGTGTTGTTGTTGGGTTTTGTGTGGTGGGTTTTTTGTTTTGTTTTGTTTTTGTTTTGAAGTTCTATTTGAAAGGCTTTTTCTGTTTTTCTTTTTGTCCCAAATGCCAGGAGTAAAACCCAGGAAACTTCGTCTGGAATTCTTTGAGTCCCATGCCTCTTTTTATTTTGGAAAGCACTTAGTTTAGTATAGAATTGGCTTTTAAGTAAATCTTCAAATAGTTATTGAGTAAAGAAAATGACCATTGATATTTGCACAAAGGTGTTTCTTTTCTGTCTACAGAACTTTCTAAAACTTATTTAGATTTATGCTGTGCTTGTATGGGAGAGCCACTGAGATGGCATCCCTTTCTAAACGGATTTGTGATGTTCTCAGAAGCTGATGTGACAGAACTACATTGCTTTTCTCCCTCAGGTGTGGTTTCAGAATTGTAGAGCACGCCACAAGAAACATGTCAGTCCCAACCACTCCTCCTCTGCCCCAGTCACATCTGTCCCACCCTCCAGGCTGTCTCCGCCCATGTTAGAAGAAATGGCGTATTCTGCCTATGTGCCCCAAGATGGGACGATGTTAACTGCGCTGCATAGTTATATGGATGGTAGGTATCCAAACATTTAACAGCTGTCTCCTAAGGAGTCGATATCTGACAACTTCTAATATTAGATTATTGATGAGATTCACAGTTTGAAATATTACCTCAGTAATAGCTAAAAAATATTGTGTGTGTGTGTGTGTGTGTGTGTGTGTTGGTGGGGGGAGGGGCGTGTAGTAGAGAGCAAAACTACCCAAACATTCTTATTTCTGTGACTATATTTTAAGGGACAAATTTAACACTCACTTTTCAGCTAAAATACAAATATTGATAATGACTCTTAGTGCTTGATTTCTATTTAGGAAACATTTTTGTTTGGTTTTTCACCTGACAAATATTTAAATAATTTATTTTCATATGGTCAGAGAAAGTATTCACAGTCAGATTTTTAGATTGGAGTTTACTTAGTTTATTAAAGAAACTTTTTTTTATTGGAATAAAACATACATAAGAAAAGTGCACACACAGTAAGTATACAACTTGGTAAATTAGTAAAATGAGCATATCCGTGTAAATACTACCCAGATGTAGTAGTGCACGATTAACACCCCAAAAGCCTCTCTTATGTACCCTCCTAAAGTAACATTACCTTGACTTCTAAACTCATGTTTTAGTTTTGCCTCTTTGTGAGCTTTATACAAATTGAACCGTGCAGAATGTATTCTTGTGTGTCGTCCTTCTTTCAGTTGCATTGGTTATGAGTCTCATCTGTGTTGTTGCCAGAACCAGTGATTTGTTTGTTTTCATTGTTATATAGAATTCTACTGTAGGACTATATGACAGTTTATCCACTCCATGGCTGATAGACATTTGTGCTGTTTCCAATTTGGGCTTTTATAAATATGCTGCTATGGAACATATTTATTATACATGCCTTTTGGTACATGTTAATTCACACTTCTATTTGGTATGTACCTGGGAATGGAACATAGGGTCATAAGCTATACATATATTCAAATTTAGTTAATTCTGCCTAACAGTTCCCGTAGTGTTTGGAGCAGTTTACACTTGGGCCAGCAGCATATGAGAGTTCAAGGTACTCCATATCCTCACTAACACTTCATATGGTGTGACTTCTTAATCTTAGTCTATTTGGTGGTGGTGTAGTGCTATCTCATTATTTTAATTTGCTTTTCCTCAGTGACTGATGAGATTGAGCATTTTTTTTCCATTGAGCATCTATATATATTTTCCTGTGAAGAACCTATTTATATCATTTGCCTATTGATCTATTAGCTTGTCTTTTTACCTTGATTTGTTTTTATTCTTGCTATATTCTGCATACAAAGTTTTTTTTAAATGATTATATGTGTTGCAAATACCTCCTCCTGTTCAGTGGCTTGCCTTTTTCTACTCTATTGAGGTATGTTCGGTTGAGCACAATTCCTAATATTAATGTAGTTCGTTTCATCAGTTTTTTCCTCCATGGGCTGTGCTTTTTTGGTGACTTATTCAAGAACTTGTGCTTACTCAAAGATAATGATGATATTCCACCAGCATTGTCAGCTAGAAACTTTATTTTATTTTGACATTTAGATTCTCAGTCCATCTGGAATTGAATTTTGTATGTGGTGTGAGATTGGGAGCAAAGCTTATTGTTTTATTGATGAAAAATACTAATTTCCCAGCTGCTTTGTAGCAGCACATTTGATATAAATTAAGTGTCCATATAATGTATGTGTCAGTTTTATTGGTGTACTTATTTTTATATTAGTACCTAATTGTTTCACTTATGCTAGGCTTATCATTAATGATATGCAATTGAACAAGTCTTCCTATTTCATTGTTATTCAAGTTTGTGTTGCATATTCTTGACCCTTTGCATTTCCATAAGTTTTTCCAGCTTATCAATTTCTACCGGCCCCCCCACCCCCCGCGCAAAAAAAAGGAAAGAAGTTCATATTTTGAAACAATCCATCATAGGAAACTACCACCTTGGTAATATTGTCTTTCATATCATGAACTTAGTTTGTCAATTTATTTAGGTCATCTTCAAATGCTCTCTTATATTCTAGACTTTACTGTTTAGTAATCTTATACATCTTTTGTTAGGTTTATTCCTAAGTATTTGTTTTGATGCAGTTATAATGGGTATTTCCTCTGTATGTAGAAATCTAGGTTGGCAGATATCTTTTTTTCAGCACGATGATGATATGATAACATTGTTTTCTGGCTTCCATTGTCTCTCTTGTGTAGAATATGGATGGTTAATTAACTTGATACTTACTGTTGAAGTCAACTGTTGGTCTTATTAATGTTCCTTTGAAAGTAAATGTCTTTTTTCTCAGCATTTTCTCTCTGGTTTTCAGTTTTATTAATATGTGCCTAGATATGCTACTTGAGTATGTCATTCAAGTATTTCATTATGAAAAAGTCTCAGCTTTTGTCTCTTCAAATAGTGTTTCAGCCCTTATGAAAAAATTTCATATTTTCCAGCCTTTTGATCTTCCATGCTTCAATCTGGTTATTTCCTTCTATTTTCCAGTTCACTAATTCACACTCTATCTAATATATAAAACTCATCCATTGAGTTCTTAATTTTAGTTATTGTAACTTCAGTTTTAGAACTTCCGTTTCATTGTTTTATACAGTTCCAGCTTCTATGCTGAAATAATCTATTTTGTCATTTTGTTCCATAATAAACTTATTGTTATATTAACTTTAGTTATATTAACGTCCTTGTCTGATAACTCCAATATCAGGATTTTTGTGGGTCTGTTCTATTATTGTTGTTTTTTCCTCTTTGTTTTCAACCAAGCCATGTCTTCTTCTTCTTCTTCTTCTTTTTTTTTTTTTTTTGTAAGCCAAAGCCATTTCTTGTTATTTTTCTTTTTTTATTGCACTTCAGATGTTGGGTATGAAAAACTAGAAATAATTTGAGGCTCTGGGTAATATCTTCCACCAGAGAGTATTTAGTGTTGCCTTTGGCAGGGAGGTGGTAGGCTAGGGGAAGAGCCACTTAATCCAATCAGGCATCAGTCCTCAGAAGGGATGGTGTGTTTCTGGGCTGCTACAAGTTGGATTTAGCTTGTTGAGATCCGCAACAAAACCTGTGTTTTGTTTTATTTTGTTTCTGCTGTTTTTAACTAGGGCTTCTCTTCAGTGGACCCTGATCTTTCATATTTGTTTTCCACCATCCAGCCTAAGTCTAACTCCTGAATACTCTGCTAAACTTCTCAGACACGTATTTTCAAATTGTCACTAACTTGGGGAAAAATAGTCTCATTTTATTTCTTTCCTCCTCTGGGAGTTGACTGCCTTGGTCTCTTTAATATGCCTTAAGACACATTTTAAAGAATGTTGTCTAGCTTCCTAGTTGCTCTCAGAGGGAGGTTGTGTTTGAAGCAATGCAGCCATTGCTGAGAGTGGAATCTTCATTTTAAGTTTCAGTTAAATAAAAAATCAGAGCCTATATCATTGTAATCATTTACTTACACTAGCATTAAAATTGGGTGTGTTGACTTGAAAGACTTTTGTTGACTGAGTCAAAGGTATTTTGATGTATGTTTAGGGAAGAAGCAGTTAGACATTCGTAAATGAGAATTTGGTTGGGGGGTTGGGGGAGTCATCCTATAAACACACTTTCAATATGAAATCTGACAACATCTCTGCTGACAAAGCTCATGAGTCTTTCTAGCTGAAGGGTAAAGTGCAGTGAATGGGGTATGGATGGAGGACAGTAAAGTGGCAAAATCTTGTTGCCCAAAATAAAGATTTGGGGGTAAACCCATCCTAGATTCTCATTTAATAATATACTCATGATGCTGAATAAGGTAATGCTTCTGCTGAGGTCAGTGGAATGAGTGTAGCTTGGTGCCCTCAGCTGTAATGAGTAATGAAAGCACATTGCCTTGGCATGTTTTTGTTTGTTTTAAATCAGTTTTATTCACCCTACAAAACTGATCCACAAATTTCTTTCTATTTTGTAGCTCATTCACCAACAACTCTTGGACTCCAGCCCTTGTTACCCCATTCAATGACACAACTGCCAATAAGTCATACCTAATTTCTTTTTCAGGGATAGAAATGATTAAGGATATAAACTTGTCATTTATTATGTATAAAATACCATTGAAAAGATTAATGTTAATTTTTTATTTAACATCTAAAGCATTTCCAACATCACTTTGCTGCCCAGGTATGTATCTACAGTTGGCCTGCAAGACACTTTTATTGATTTTTTTTCTTTTTCTTTTTTTTTTTTTTTGTAAAACTTATGTTTACAAGAAGAAAACAAGTCAAAACTTTTTTTTGTATTGTCTGGAAATAGTTCACTCTAGTGTGTATCTGTTAATTTATTTGTCATCAAAAGAGCACTTTGCCTAAAAGAAAGGACTGACAAGTGTGCAAAATGTTTACAATTCTTTGTGAAATTGTAGTTTATCATTAGTTTGTATCTGTAAGTTATTGTTATAAATATTACCTGTATTTTTTTTTGGTACATACAACTTTATACTTTGAGGCTTGTATCTGTGAATTTGCAACTGAAATTTCCTTTGCCACCATTTTCAGAATGAACTGAATAAAGCTTCTGTTGTAGCATGCCACGCAGACACGTTCTTGTGTTTGTGGTTGATGAATTACGGCTGTAAATAACACTATGGTTTAATAAGCCCACCATTCTAAGTTTATTAAACATTTTCCATTATTGTGAAAGTTCCAACCAATTTGTCCTTTTTGTGTGTGTTTTCCACAGTAAGTTGACCCTAATGTCTTTCAGATATAACAACTTTTATTTTAACAGTTCATTTTGTTTTGAGCTGCGTTGTGAGTACATTTTAATAGGCAGCTTATTTGTTGATGATTACACTTATTCAACAAAAGAACACATGAAAACATCTAATTTGGCAGATGGTCTCTTTTGGACTCGCTCGTAAAATTAATGTGGAAGAAAAGGCAGAGCGCTTTTCAAAACGGTCTTCTGGGGCATCCCCGTCAGAAATGAGAAATGCGCCATAAGAATGTATGTCTTCGGGGCTGATAAAGGAGGCCTAGAAGGCTTTGGAGTTTCTGAGCAACGTTTCTCGGGCAGAAACTCTACTTTTTCTTCCTGTGAACACACTAGGGGTTATGTTTCTGAGCTGAAACCCGAACCTCAGGACTTTATCCTAGGTAGCAGTGGACGCTTGTCTTGGAATTACAAAAGTAAGTAGTGCCGCTCTCACGCATTTTTGGATTTAAAGAACTTAATCAGTACCCACTTCTTCTCTTTCATATACCAGTCAGGACAAATAAAAAGGTAACGAGAAAAAAATCTTAAGTATCATAAGTTTTTAAGTCTTTATTTAACTTAGCAGATTTACATCTGGTTGAGGACTGGAAGTAATAATGGAGTATTTGTAATTCTATTCTGGTAATCATAAATGCAACCAGAATGCGACCCTGTGGAGGTAACTTACTATCTGCCTCAACCCGGAAGCAACAAACCTACACTTCACTGAGGGAGAAAGCAGGAAAAGAAGTGTTTTGTTTTGTTTTAAACTGCTACACCAGTTAGAATCCATTTGGCCAAAAACAAAGAGCATAGTCAATAGTCACTGTATCTAATCTTGTGAAATTGACGCTAATCTCCTTGGGTTTTAGTCTACCTGTCCCAGGCATGAAGTGGTGAGGTCAGCTTTACCTTTACCAGATGTCGAGGAAAGCGCTTGTAGTCCAGCCAAGCTCTGCACTGTGAGCAGCTCATAGCATTTCCCAGCTGGATCTGATTGGCATCATTTAGCTCCGGAGGCGCTTGATTGCGAATGTTAGTTCCTCTCTCTTTTGTCTTTTTTTTCTGTGCTCACCACCCTCTGACTGTTCAGAGAGTTTTTACAAACCACATCACTACCCTTTTCACTCCCAAAGATGAATGCCCAAAGTTGAGGTAAATCTTCCATAACAGAGAGGTTCAAAGCTGTCAAAATGTATGAGATTTTTTACCCTGCATCTAAAGTCATTAATATTAATAATGAGATATGTATGAAAGTACTAAAAAAATTATATGTGATGCAAACATATGGTTGTATTTTCATTCTTATTGGTGGCAGTCACAGGTCCTCATTTTATAACTTTAAATTAGGAAAGAATTGAAGTATGTTCATATTAGTAATACTCAATGTACTAGTAAGCATGCAGGCAACGGTATTTATTTGCTTAAAATTGGGGGTGCTCAAGCACCTTTTGTGAGGATTGGAGGTAGACTTTTGCTGGACTAGCAAAGACCTGGGTAACAAGTAGTTATCTCTTAGGCCAGTGGTCGGCAGACTGCGGCCCCTTGAGTGTGGCTCTTCCACAAAATACCACGTGCGGGCACGCACGTACAGTGTGATTGAAACTTTGTGGCCACACTCAAGGGGCCAAAGAGCCGCATGTGGCTCGCAAGCCGCAGTTTGCCGACTACTGTCTTAGGCATTCAGAGATTCATGAGCTGAAAGATGGTAAAAATAACGTTTTAACTATGCAAATCAATTGAATCACCAATTTAGAGATTGAAACTGAAGTTACACTAAGTCAGTACCTATAAGTGATTCTTGTTAGTAGGTGGCATTAACATTTAGCAGTAATTTTACATTATGCAAATATCATTCTTCAAAGTCCACAGTACTTTTTCATAAGTACATCTGTTTTGAATATCTCGTAATAAACTTTGTTAGAATCATAGTTCATGCTTTTAAAAATTGTTACAGGCATTTGAAAGCTGATAGCAGTAGTATTTCTTGACTTGTAAATGAGGAATGTAATTACTGTAGTGGCATTATGAGACTAGAGAGGATCTTGGGACTTTGTTAGGGCATGGGAGACTTCACCTGTTAGTTAAGAGATACTTCTATTTTATTATTTAGAACAGGAGTCATTTGAATTGCAATTCACTAAGTACCAAAAGTATATTAATTAGCTCAGGAAAAATTCTCAATGACCCCCACCCCAGCAGATAAAGGAATTGAAATGAACACTATTTGATTTTTGCTCTTTTGAACTACAATTAAATTTTTGGAAAGAGAAAGAGATTTGAATTCAAAACAAGTTTATGTACACTACATCTGTTTGAATTCAGTAACAGTAAATACTATTTTATAATCTGTGTTTCCCTTTTAATATAAGAAAAATTTTTTCAAGTCATATTCAGCTACAACATTTTAATTGATATATGGCACTACATTGCTAGGATGAAACAATTTATTAGAATATACGTTATTTCTATTTTTTTATTATAATAAACATAATCTAACATTGTGAGTACTTTTAATATGCCTTCTTTAAGTGCCTTAGTTGTATTTGTTAAATATTCACAGCCACCTCATGAAACAGGTTCTATTATAATCAACATTATTTTACAAACGTGGAAATTGAAAAGTAATATGTACAGTATCTCAGTGAGAAGCAACAAAGCCAGAATTTGAATATCTTAGCTCAGTGATCCAGATACTACATTCTTAACTTCTTAATTTCTGTACTTTAAGCACTTTCTATTTTAAGTAATACTATGGTGAGCTACTTTTTTTATTCACATCCTATTTCCCACATAGAAATTCTTAGAAGTGGAATGGATGTGTGCGCATAGTTTTAAGATTCCTGAAAGTCATGAATTGCCCCCAGAATGCTGCACTAATGTACAGCTCCACCTGCAGTGTTTGAGGTGTTTCCCAGAGCACTTGTCTATCCTATCTACCAAAGGAATTAGTAATATCTTAGTTGTTTTTCCAATTTGATGGCCAAAAAGATAACTTGTTTTTTTAAATCTTTCTTTTAAAAAAAATTTACCATGTTAACCTTTTTTAAAAAAAATTATTATTTTTGTTAATCCTCACCTGAGTATATTTTCCCATTGATTTTTAGGGAGAGTGGAAGAGAGAGGAAAAGACAGAGAGAAATATCGATGTGAGAGAAACACATCCATTGGTTGCCTCCTGCATGCACCCCGACCAGGGCCTGGGCCAGGGAGGAGCCTGCAACCAAGGGTATGTGCCCTTGGCTGGAATTGAACCTGGGACCCTTTGGGTCTGCAGGCCAACACTCTATCCACTAAGCAAACTGACTAGGGCAAAAAGATAACTTTTAAAGTCTGATATTTCATTTATTACTTGACATGAGATTTTAATTTACATTTAAGAGAAGTAGTTTCTTGTAAGAGGGGTAAAGAAACACAAGCTGCCACTTTTGCCATCTTTCTTCCTGGAGTTATTCTGCATACATGGCTCAGTGAACATTCTTTAGGATTTGTTTAGCTGAGGCCTCATTCACTTGATATCAGATATTTTACTTCTGGGGCCCAGCACTCTTGATACCATCATATTTTATTAGCTTTGTTGATGATTATACTGGAACCTTTATTTATATGACCTTTCACCCATTTCAAACATTTTTCTAGACATCATCGTGTCCCCATTCAACATATAGGGAGACTGAAATTTAAGAAATTTTGATTAACAAAACTAGGCCTTTGGTTTTCATATAAAAGAGTTTTCCAGAGCACCAGATTATTTTTATAAATCTGTGTAAAACTCAGGAGAATAAATTCGTAAGTGTTTCCCAATTGCTTGGATTTTATAAGCAGCTCTAAGAAAGTGATTTCCACAGACTCAGGGGATGTAGGAAACACCCTTCTGCCTTTCTAAATTGTGTCAACATGTACAGTACTTACCAAGAATCTGTACTTGGTGGGGGCTGAGGGCAGAGCTTAGGTGTGGACTGTGTATGTGTGTGTGTCGGGGGGGATATCACAGGGAGAAAAAAGGCTGTTAAGAAATAAAAGAAGATGCCCTAGCCGATCTGGCTCAGTCGATAGAGCCTTGCCCTGCAGACTGAAGGGTCCCAGGTTCAATTCTGGTCAAGGGCACATGCCCAGGTTGCTGGCTTGATCCCCAGTAGGGGGCGTGTAGGAGGCAGCTGATCAACGATTCTCTCATCATTGATGTTTCTATCTCTTCCTCTTTCTTCCTCTCTGAAATAAATAAAAATATACTTAAAAGAAAAAAAGAAATAAGAGATGAGGCCCTGGCTGGGTAGCTCAGTTGTTTAGAGCATCACCCCAATACACCAAGATTTCAGGTTCAGTCTCTGATCAGGACACATAAAAGGAGCAACCAATCCTATATAAGAAAGAGCTAATATGCAAATAGTCATCACACCCTCACGCCTTCATGCCATAACGGCTCAGACACTCAACACTGGGGAGAAATGAATGGGGACCAGCCAGGCACAAATGAGCTCATGAGAGAGGAATGGGGACCAGCCAGGCTGCAGCCTGGGAGAGGGACAAGCTGCCCGCCCTGAGATCCCAGGTGCCAGCGGCTGCACCTGCACCTGCAGCCCAGGAGAGGGACAAGCCACCCGTCCTGTGGTCCCAGGCGCCAGTGGCTGGGGCTGCGGCCCAGGAGAGGGACAATCCACCCACCCCAAGGTCCTGGACACCTGCAGCTACGGCCTGGGCGAATCTGCCCGCCCATGATCCCCTGCAGCTGCGGCCGGCCTGGGTCCTGGGTGCCTGCAGCTGGCCAGAGGGAAGGAAGTCCAGGTCCTGGGTTCCTGAGACTGGCCGGAGGAGGGAATCCTGGGTCCTGGGTGCGGGGTGAGGCAGAAGCAGTTAGGGGCAATCAGGCCAGCAGGGGAGCAGTTAGGGGCGATCAGGTCAGCAGGGGAGCAGTTAAAGGCGATCAGGCAGGTGAGCAGTTAAGAGC